GCAACGATAAACTCGTGCATATAAGACCCTAGAAGCGAAAAGCGCACCGCATCTCATGACGTCACACACAACCACGCGAGAGTGAATTGGAGAAGTACTAAGTATGGGAAGCTATGGTATAAACCAATGGCTTCTGTTACCAATTATAGACATTTAAGGATATTTGTAGAGATGCCATAAAAAAAATATGGATCACTATTGTGAATTTCTTTCTTCGTTCAACGATAATGTTATTAAAGTTATCAGACGTTACGAAAAAATTTACATAAAATAAATAGACAACACTTGTCTATATTATTTAATGAAACGTGTATGAATACATACATATATATATATATATATATATATATATATATATATATATATATATATGACACCAGACCTCTTCAGAAATATCTAAACTGTCACCTATATAGTACAGATTTCTAAGATCAATGGTTGAAAATCGTTTGAAGGGAATGATGCATGTAAAGTCTTAACAAGGATTATTTTGCATCGAATGCTGTACTAAATAAAAGAAAGCACATTACTTGAGGACTTTCAACAGCAGCAACAAAAAAAATGGATAGCACATGTAACCCAAAGAGAAGATAATGCTATAATCAAAATGCTGACGTTCAACACTACTTCAAGCAAAAGGTGAGGAAGGAAACCTCCGTCAATACTGCAAAGGGTGATAACAGTAGACTTGGGAAACGCGTTTTCCTGATTTAATGGAAACTTCTTATAAATTTCAACCGAAAATAACTGCTCGGTCAATGAATGTTGAATATTTTTTTTATAAGGAAACTGTAATATATTATTAGCATCTCAACTAAGTTGTTACCAAAATGTTGAAATGATCACAGATTTTTTTTATATATATATATATATATACTTCACAAACGTATTGCAATAATTTAAAAATTTTCTTTGAAGACTTAATTTCAAGAACATTCTGTCTTCAAGAAGAAAAACAGGACCGCAGCAGCGACAAATCTTTTTTTTTTTTTTTCGCGGGAGTGGGGGTGCAAAATATTTAGAATTTAGCTTTAAGTTATCAAAGGCCGCTAACATGGTTAGAGGCAAGAACATTTATGATTTCCAGTACGTCTTTGCTTTGATAGTTTTTTCTTTATTGTATTTCTTTCTTTATTGTATTTTGTTAAAATAACCAATAACATTGCAGATTCTTCTTTGGATTTCGTCCAGAATCTCAAGATAGATAAAAAAAAAATTTAAAAAAAAGAAAGAAAGCATCAGACCGGATATATTAACAATATTAATGTACGGGTGAACAGATGACTTCTAAAGTTTCAAGGCAAATTCGGGTCAAATAACATTGGAGTAGATAGGTTCGTTTTTCGATAGGTTCACATTCCTCACCGGTCATTTGAGCAGGAGTAAAGGTTTATCCCTTGTTTCCTGTTTAGGATTAGATTTCCGGTTCCTTCTAAAACCTATTTCAACTCTATACTTCTAACATCTCTGGCTAAACTCTGAAGTTTTATTTACTATTTATTTTTCCTCAATTGGAGTAAATAGGTTCACCTATGTTCCCTTCACACTCCTCCCCGGCTATTTGAACAGGAGTAGAGGTTTATCCCTTGTTTCCTGTTTAGGATTGGGTTTCCGGTTCCTTCTAAAGCCTATTTCAACTCTATACTTCTAACATCTCTGCCTAAATTCTGAAATTTTATTTACTATTTATTTTTCCTCAATTGGATTAAATAGGTTCACTTATGTTCACTTCACACGCCTCCCCGGCCATTTGAACAGGAGTAGAGGTTTATCCCTTGTTTCCTATCTAGGATTGGGTCTCCGATTCCATGTAAAGTCTTCTGATTTATTTTTTTCCCAGTAGCCCTTTCCGTCTTAGTGGCATTATCAGCTTCCTTGGGGTGAATTGTTTAAATATATATATATATAGAGAGAGAGATCCGTGTAAAAATTTCACATAGGGTATATCAGTATAAGGACAATATGAATAAAGACAAAATGGAAAATTATCTTAGCTGAAGCGTTTCGTGTTCTGGTGGACTTTATCAAGCCTCTACCAGAAATTTGTAAAAAGTGTCGACATGAAAAACAAAAACATACACATACATTTAGCTAGAAAATACAGTTTTATCATTTGCCTTGATAAAGTCTCTCAGAGGACGAAACGCGTCAGCTAAGATAAATTTTCACACACACACATACACACATATACATATATATGTTCTATTTCACCATCTTCGAAGTTTTTATTTTTTTTCATGTATACGATTGATTCCATCAATTAAAATGTTATTTGACTGAAGAAGTTCATTCTTCGAACGAAACACGTCATTAATAAATCCTCCATTTTGTCATTCATTTGGCCACTATTAGTTATATATATTTGTGTGTGTGTTTGTGTGTGTATGTATGTGTGTGTGTTTAGACCATATCTTTCATATAAGTATGTGTGTATATGAACACAAAACATTTACTTAAGTGCACATGTACATACACATACGTATATTTATACTTACATATGAGTTTATTTTCATGCGTTGTTACATATCTTGTCAACCTTGACATAAACGTTCTTCGAACAATTAGGCATTCTGTTTATTAACTAGTCAGTTATCTTGAGTGCCTTCAGGCAGATAAAATATTTCAATCCATCGACGTGCCTCAGTCGCTACCATTTGGTTGTTTTTGGTTGCTTTACTTCTTTTTTTTGTAACCTATTTTAGCCTTTACACGGCGACTCGGGTACTAAGGGCTGGGAGGGAATCTCCAAGGGGGTGCCACTTCGGCCTATCTTTGGTTTAGGTCTACATTTGCACGTGATTAAGTGTCTTCAAGTCTGAAAGAGCCAGCTTGACACTGGAATGTGTGTTTTATTTATATACCGATCGGCACAGCGCAACAACTGACCCTCACCGTGCCTATCAGGGAGAATGCCTTCAGACATGTGTAAGTTCGCGCGAAAATAAGATATATTGCATCTCTTAGTGATATTTTAAGCTGTCCAAGATAAACAAAAAGCATTTAGATAGACAAAAATATATTTCGCATTAAACCTGGGAGGGAGTTTTTTTGTTTTTTTTTAAAAAAAGCGTGATCTGTCCTCAGGACGTAATCTATTATGTCTCTTCCCAGCTTCCTTTCGTATTATTTGTAAAATGTGCATTGCCATGACTGCTTTTAGTAAAGATAGGGTTTCCTCCTTGCTTTCTCCATGAGTTTTCTTTCTTCTAGGTTGATTGCTTAGCAAGTTTTGAAAGCCTATAGATATAGATATCGATTAACCCGTGACTTAAAGGATGATTTTTAAGGTTCGATCAGTTTTTGTCCTTTGTTGGTTCATATGTGCCGGTGAGGCTAATACAAGACCAGCAGAACCTTCCACAATGGCTGCTGAGAGAAGTTGACATGAAATCTTCAGGAAGTGCTGATGAGATGCCACCCAAACTACCACGACCCTCTACACCCACAACCACGCCCAAATGTTTACCATGGAAACCTAAAGTCAGGTAATGGTGATTATTACTAATTTATTTATTTTTGACTAATTTTTGACATTTGCTTTGATATCAAGGATGAGATTTAAGGTCAGATCAGTTTTGTCCTTTGTTGGTTCATATGTACTGGTGAGGCCAATACAAGACTAGCAGAACCTTCCACATGGGCTACACTAGAATATCTGGTCTGTAGGTGCCTCTATTTTGGCACTGTTTTTTGCCAAATTCCATTCTCTTCCAGGCTGGCATGACAGTTTGCTTCAAGATTCTTTGCAATCAGGTGGATGCTGATGCGACAAACCTTGCAGTTGGAGAGTTGGGCGTTCTTTATTTTTCTTTTTTTATTTTATTTACTGTTCACCCAATACAAGACCTAAGGGCCACTCAAGGTAGAGAGTTAAGGAGTGAGATTGTTGTAAGAGGGGGGGTGAGAAATTCATCATCATCAAGTCGAGAATTCTTCTCAGATTCTCTTGACTCGTTCCTTCCAACCATCTCTGTCAGACATCGATGTCGGCAGGTCCTCCAGATGGCATCTAGAGTCATCTACAAGTTGATCAATGTAGGTGGGATGAGGTCTTCCAACCGATTTTTTTACTGCGCAATGGGTTCCATAGGTGAGTGTCACTCACAAGTCCTGACTTACTTCTCCAGAAGTGACCAGATAGCTGAAGCCTTCACCTCTCTTAGCGAAACTGAGATAAGAGGAAGGTGTCCATAGAGGCAGTTCTTTTTTGCGTGTTTCTTCCAGCTGATGTCCAATGCAACTCGTAACATCTTTGTGCATATTCTATCAAGTGATGTTTCTTGGTGTTTCATCAGTGTCCATGTTGTTGAACTGCAGGGGAGGACTTCAAGGAGAAAGTAAGAAATGTATATTATGAGGACTTGTAAGGATAGATATTGGTTGACCCCGGAGACTGATTGTTGTTGACAGGAAAGCATCCTTTCTGTTCCATAAAATAACATCTCTGAAGAAGAAGCTGTCTTATTGGAATTTGCTTATCAAAGGAACACACAAGCTGATTTCTAGGCCAAACATGTTGGCGATCACTAAGAAGTAGGATATGATATACAACATGGCTCTTTCTCCAGACATTTGTTTGTCACAACAACAACAAAAAATATTTTTTTCAAATTAAGTTCATATAATTGTCATGGTAACTGATGTTCCATTTACACTTGATTTCAAATTTTCAAGGTTTCTCTTTTAAACTGTAATAAAATTGATGTTTCTTTTTATCTAGTTATTATTACCACAACGGTATTTGTTGTAACTATAGAAAGCTGAATACAGTAATATTGCAAGTGAATGAATTCCATGTAAGATTCAGGGTCCTAATTCCCTAGCAGGCTTACAACAACATCATGTTGAAAAACCAATTCCTATATGATTTCCGAAATTAAGCAATGTCAAGTCTGATCAGTACCTAGAAGGGTAACTGCTTGGAAATACCAGGTGCTGTAAGCTTGGATGTGCAGGTGGTGTAATGGATAATGGCTCGGAATTGTTAATCAGAGAGTTGAGTTCCCATACAATCACCGAAGTTAAGCAACGTTGAACCTGGTCAGTACCTACATGGGCAACCGCTTGGGAATACCAGGTGCTGTAAGCTTGGATGTGCAGGTGGTCTAATGGATAATGGCTCAGAACTGTTAATCGGAGAATAGAGTTCCTGTACGATCACCGAAGTTAGGCAATGTCGAGCCTGCTCAGTACCTAGATGGGTAACTGCTTGGGAATACCAGGTGCTGAAAGCGTAACAGATAATGACTCGGAACTGTTAACCAGAGAGTTCAGTTCTAATTCCTGTTTGTTTCATTATATTCAAATACCCTTGGGAAATGTGTGAATTCATCTCTTCTCCCCACCCCCAGCTATGGGCTAATAAGACTTGTATCACTAAAACCATTATTATCGAAAAAAAAAAATTCTGAATAAAATATTTAGATATTGTCATTAAAATCAGAAGTTGAACGATGTTGTTTTATTGATAGTTCACCCAATACAAGTCTCTAGGGCCACTCAAGGTAGATAGTGAGTGAGTGAGATTCTTGTAGAGAGAGGGGAAGGAGGGTGTAAGAAATGCATATTATGTGGGTGTAAGTTAGATATCAGTTGACCCTGAACTTAAATAGATTAAGTTGTTAAGGAAACAGACTCTCGGAAGTTTGTTCTACAAATTAACAATTCTGGAGAAAAGGCTGAGTTGAAGTTACTTTTCATCAAAACAGCACGAAGGGAATGGAGGTAGTTTGCCACCATGAACACAGCATGGCTGAAATCAACCAACCAACACTCAACAAAATTCAATACGAATATATCAACAACATATTAAAGTGCATATAATATTTAACGCGATTATATTCAAAGGCATGTTTTGGGAAAAATTCCATAACTACAACGAATGAATTCTAATTTTTAAAATTACTATAACAGAATGCGTTTGTTCGTGTTTTTGAAAATCACCAACCCACCGAAATGCAGGTTTTATCACAGTTGCAATAAGTTTGTCTTTGAAATTTACAACTGAAGATGGTCCGAGAAAAGATCGAAAGTACTTGGGTTACAAAAAAAACAAAAAAAATTAATTTCATCTTAACATCAAGAATCTGATTAGACAACTGGAAAGGATCAATATAAAAATAAGTACACACAATATGTCTATATTATTCAATGAAATATATATATATATATATATATATATATATATATATATATATATATATATATAGTCGACTCTCCGTCGAATTCGACGTATGAGGGTGAAGCAGATCAGTTCCCAGGAAACAATGGCCGAATTCAGAGACCTGGTGCACTACGTGCCACAAGGTCCCCAAACGACCCTCCGCAGGTTTTGAATTCAGAGTTGTCCTTCTTCTAGACCAGTTGCCATCCAACGCTATAGAACCCAGTCTGTTCTGCTATTTACCCATAGCTGGAAGGAGAAGAGGATTCACACCTTTCCCAAGGGTATTAGCACGTAAGTGTATGTAATGGATTCGATATATATATATATATATATATATATATATATATATATATCATGAATACATAGTCCTTAAAAATCCATCGGGTTAGGTTATAAATCTTTTCAAACCAGTTTCACATGTAAAGAGAAGAATGCCTGAGGTCCACGAAATAAATTATAACCTGACCTGATGGATTTTTAAGAATTCTGTATTCATTATTATATTGTCTAGTTCTTCATTTAGCTCTCTTTGTATTTATATCCTCCTTGGAATTATCCCTACTAAACATTAAGCGATATTGTATATATATATATATATGGTTAGATAAATGAAATAACTAGATATTAGCGACCGTATATGCATGTGCTGGCGTGCATATGTTTGTAAGCAAATAAATAATTACCAAATTTAGCCAAGCGGTGTAGACATAATAGTGCTCAGTGTGATTAGATAGAGCTAAGAAATATATATCAATAAATACACATATACCTACGTTTGGTGTACGACTAAGCTTCAGTCGCACATCAATATATATATATATATATATATATATATATATATATATATATATATATATATATATATATATCACTGAGCTGCTTGACGAAACGACGGCGGGAGAGTCCAGTATATATTACGTTAATTACTAAAGGTTTCATAAGAATGATAGTATGCATTAATATTAGTGTTTCTGAGAAAATAGTGATAATATATGAATAATGGGAAAGTATTGTAAATAATTTATTATAGAAATTCATCGAAAAATACTATAAAACATGTAAATTATTTTACTGTAGAAATTCATTGAAAATAAGGAAGAAAGAGGTTTTCATAGTTCAGGAATTAAGTTCAGTTCTTCGAACCAACAGCCAGACGACCCGCACATATCATTTGATTATAGTGGTGAAAGCTTGTGTCGAAGCAGCCACACTTTTTAGGAGAGCCGAATACAGAGAACTGGTGCACAGTAGGCCACAAGGTCCCCAAAGTCCCTCCGCAGGTTTTGAATTCAGAGTTGTCCTTCTCCTACACGGGTTTCCACCAAAGGCTATAGGACCCAGTCTTCCCTACTATTTACCTTACTGACGGAATAAAACTATTATATATCAAGCGTAAATGCATTAATTTCACTAGAAACGAATTGAGAGAATCTGAGAAATAGATATGATTATCTACCCTTGGCAGTTTAATGTAAGCCAATCGGATTACAGTTGCTGATTGGTGTGCTTTTCTACCTCTTTTTGCAGAACGCTCACTCTTGGTATGACCTGCAAAATTAACACTTGCAGAACTAGCCAGCTCTACATTGTTATCACCACAGAGTCTGTAGATGGCGAAAACATCGACTCTTCTTCAGCAGATAAGTCTGGTCGCAGAAAGATTAAGATTGCAAAGAATTTGGATATCGATATTTTTTGTTTTATATGTCAAACTCAGTGGGTCATTTAATGCCAACAAAATTTTTGAAATAGTTACATAGCGATAGAAAAAAGGTGTGTATATATACATATATTTTGAACCATTTTTCAATTTCTCATATTTTTTTAGTACAATCACATGTATTACTGGTAATTTTTTTTTTTCAAAAACGTATTACTGGTAATAGTTTTTTTTTGTTTTTTTTTTTCAAAAATTAATTTATGGTAATAATTTTTTTCAAAGTATTTCAGGTATTAAAATCTATTTTTACACTTTTATAATGATTTTTACCTCAGTTTCGGGATTAATTATTTGCCCATAGCTGGGACTCTAACAGGTGCTACCACCCCGGGTCAGGGTGGACCTGGGAGCGCCAGCAATTAAGAGGTGGTTCGCTCCTCAAAACCTCCTGATCTGAGGCCTTGCTGTTGGACGTAGTTTATCGTCTTACCCTGGACGCGGATGTAGTTTATCGTCATACCCGGGACGCCTCATTGGGGGGTCTTAGCCCTCTGCAGAGATGCAGTCGGCGTATTCTACGGCCCCAGCCGACAGGGTGCAAAGAATTATTTGCAATATTGTTTAGTACAGCTTGTATAAACAAGAGGTCAGTCGCGCTCTGTTCCTTACTTATTACAACGCCTGCAACCAACACGTGAGAATCTTATATGGGGCCCACTTCAATTCCTTATAAGAAAGAATCAGGAATTAATGTAGGCATTACTGACAGAATGGGCTAATGTATGTATAATGGAAATGCAATGATAATTTTATTAGAGACATGCCTTGATACTCAGCAATAAGAGAATAAGGTTATATGTATAATATAAATATTAATTTTTTTACGATAGAAATACTCTAGTAATTAGGAAGAAAGGTATTATCAGCGGTCAATTCTTAGTGACAGAATAGGAATGATTATCTGATGCACTAAAGTAATCCCAGAATGTCCAAACGATTGCCTTCTACTTGTGTGGCGAGATCAAGACGAGAAAATTCGAGAAGTGGAAATGTTGCCAAGCCCTTCAAGATGTCAAGCTGATGAAAGTTAGATGGGTGAGTAGTTTTTAAACGCTTCCGTTATTAAAATGATAAAAAAAAAAATGTGTTTCATATTAGCACTCCCTGGGGTAGAAAAGCATAAGGAATACTTATCAGAGCGATGTTTTGGAAGAAATAAAAAATAGAAATAAAAATTATTGATAAAACTACTTCCTTTCATTTGGTCTTTCCGTTCGTCTTTGAGAAGGAAGATGATTACGTTCTCTTGTGTACTAAATACAAGTGCCGGTACGATTAAATAGCATTTTTTCTCCATTTTCTCCAAGCATAGACACCTGTCACGGGTTTATTTGACATTCACTCATTTTATTTATTTATTTATTGTCTTTTGTTTTTTCTTTAATCGGTATCATTCCATGCAAGGCAATAAAGCCACTAAGACACAAGGGGTTACAGAGTGTGGAAGAATTAGGAACAGAAACATTAATAATGAGCGGAAAGAGGAAAGAGTAATCAGGAAGACAGTAGATAGCGATTGACAGTGCGTTTAATTTTTTGAAGATTTAAATTGGCTGGAAAGCATGGAGGTGGAAGGGAATTCCACAAGCGAGAAGTGTGAGAAAAGAAACTTTTAGCATAGAAGTCACTGCTACATCTAGCCAGCTCAAATTGATGAGACCACGTCGCCAGTCTAGCACTGCCCTTAAACTTAAAAGTCTTGGTACCATAGCAAAGAGCGATATTTATTCGTATGATAATACAAAGTGTGGCACAAGGCCAAAAAGAGGAATGGGGTAAAGGACGGTCTTCATCTGTCTTAATGTTAAACTTAGCTAGCCACAAACACTGATCCAATCATACAACAATATTCCTTACACCAAAACAACGGATTCTTACTTACCATTCTTACTTCATCCACCATAATATCTCAAAATCTCCATGAAGTCCAAACGAATCCCCATATGTACATTGTACAATACCTTGTCTGTGGTGGGTGGGGGGATAAAACAACAATTTAAAATCTATTCCCAATGTGTACCATAGCAAAGAGCTTATCCGAATAATTACCATGAAAGTATTTATAGAAAAGACAGAGGTAACCTTACAGCGATGGAAAATTGACCGAAGCCGAGCCACCAGATCAGGACCAATAATATTGCTGATTCTTCTTTGTATTATTGCTTGTTTGGCGGCCTATCAACTCTTTGTGGGTCATTTAA